AGTGTAACAAACCTTGCAGTCAGGAGCCCTTCGAGGGGTCCTGGCCTTGGCCACCACTGTCTCATCCCAGCGGGGCAGGCACTGCACTCCCAGACTGCTGACCATAGGCAGCATTGGAGAGTGTCCCTAGGCCAAGGGAACCGAGTAAGGAGGAGTCAGAGCCAGGCAGAGGCCCTGTGACCCGGTTCCCACTATTGTCTCAGTGCCTAGACTGGAGCCTGGTCGCAGGCAGAACGAGACAGGTGCATTTATCTCGTGACGAGCGCAAATGCCTGGAAAGGAAAAAGGATTACAGGAGCCAACCACTGTTTTCTCTAGACATGAAATTGAGATTAATCTGTGTGAGGGCGCCTAGAGTCTAAATCAAATGAAAGGGGAATTTATTGATAGCCCCTGCTCGGGCATCATCCCACCCAGGGATCCTGGCCCTCTGCTCACTGGAGAGCTGGAGCCTCCTTCCAGCTGCCTGCAGCGGGCAGAAGGGGACTTGAGGACCCACCTTGAAAGTCCAGAAGTCATTAATCTGCTGGCAAAGGTTGAGGTTGAGCTCAGTGACCAGCAGCCCATCTTGATTACGTGAGAGGCCAGGGGTCCGGCTGCCGTCAGGAGCTGCCACATAGCTTGAGCCGTAAAAGTAGCCGAGGTCGTGGTGAGCTTTCAGGGACAAGGGAAGCAGCCACGAGTTTGTACATGGCGTGGGTTAAGAAGGAGGGCAGGCACGAGGCAGGATAGCAGAGAGCAAGCAACCTGGCATACCGCTCCCGCGTCTGCAGTGTACCAGTCTCCCTCCTCACGCCTTCAGGTCTAAGAGAAGGTGGCATTAGCGTTCCGTTCACGTCACTCTCCCCTGCCCCGAGAACGGCTCAAGGCCACCATAGCGGAGTGAGGTGGCCCCTCTGAGACAGATTCCAGGACATCTCTGCCTGTCACTCATTTGGACGAATCTAGGATCGGAACCTCTATAAGTTTGGAGTGCACCCGGGCCCTCAGATGGAGGGATCGGGAAACAGTTCTGTTCACCCTCTTGTGTCTTTCTGATAGGGGCCCACCAAGTCTGGTGTGAAACACCCTTTTGGTAAGTGAAGTGGTACTTCTGGCTAACATTCTTGGCTAGAGAGGCCAGACCTCAGGGTGGAGGAATTCTAGCAGTGGTACATTGGTAGTTGCCTTCAGTTCATAACCACCTGAGGACCCCAGGTCCTATGACAACCTATGCGGACTCAAGGGACATCATCAGTACAGATAGGGAGCAGAGGAGAGTCCGTAGCCCCTTCCTAGGCACCCAGTGAGCAGGTACAGGCTGTGGAGCAGACCCCGCTCAGAGGAAGTAGGTGGAGTAGGGGAGATGAGGCCCAGCCATTGGAAGATTCATGAACATACCTTTCTTTCCATCTCCAGAAGTGAACTCATTGGGGTAGCGTTCCTGTGAATTAAGTGTAATGCTAAAATCAACCTCTAGGTGGCAGCACCACGACAGTCTTTCCTGACCACCCAGCCAGCCCAAGAGCCGCAAGGGAGCCCAAGCAGGGACCAGCTAAAGGAAGGCATTGGTCTGCACTCACTGGGCAATCAGCAAGCTTTGGTAAATGTTCAGCAGGCCAGTACTGCGCCATAGGAAGCCAGCAAGGAATGCGACAGGCAAAGCAAGACTTGATTTTGTATCTGGGTTCATTTTTTTTTTCTTTTTTCTTTTTTTAGATTTATTTATTTAAGGATACAGTGGTCTGCCTGCATGTATACCTACAGGCCAGAAGAGGGCACCAGATCTCATTACAGGTGGTTGTGAACCACCATGTGGCTGCTGGGAATTGAACTCAGGAACCTTTGGAAGAGCAAGCAGTGCTCTTAACCACTGAGCCATCTCTCCAGCCCTGTATTTGGGCTCATAACCCTGGAGCTGGGAGACGCTAGGTACCCACAAGTCTCAGAGCTGGGCAATGGAATGTGAGGTCAGCCTGCCTGCCGGAGGAGCAACACTCCACCTTGTCTAACAGAGAGAAGAGAGGAGAGGAGAGGAAGGGAGGGCAGAGGAGAAGAGGGGAGAGGAGAGGAAGGGAGGGCAGAGGAGAAGAGGGGAGAGGAGAGGAAGGGAGGGCAGAGGAGAAGAGGGGAGAGGAGAGGAAGGATGAGAAGAGACCAAAACCCAGAAGAAAACTACCAGATGAAGCCATTTTCTCCTGGGACCCTACCATCTGTGGCATGTGTGTAGAGAGAGGAAGAAGACAGGTGACGCTCCCCAAGGCCATCCGTCAGTGCCCACCCCCTTAGCTGGACCTCAGACGCGTACCTGACCCACACGGTTGATGGCACAAGTGAAGCAGTGATTGGCAATGGCTGCGTTCCTGGCTTCGATTGGCCACAAGGACTCGCTGTGAGAGGGGGAGGGAGAGGCAGATTGGAGACTCCTCGGCCACTCGGTGCATGCTCAGCTCTGAGACGCAGCCTGGCTGGGAGCAGAGCTGGGCATGGCACCAAGTCAGCACTCGGAAAGCCAAGGCGACACAGGGAGGACCCCGCCCACCTGAGCCAGCTGGGACAGCCCGAAGACAACCCATCTGCAAGCTGACCAGCTTGTCAACACCTTACTTAACCAATACCAGCTTCCTAAGGAAAGCCAGTTAGCTAAAGGCAGAGTCCACACTGCCGTAGTCCACTGGGGGTTCAGACAGCCTTTACCCTAAGTCTCAGTCTCCCCCAAAACATCTGAGTGAGATGATGTAGCTTGAATGGTCATGAAGATGAAGTACCACGTCGTGATTGTTCTGCAACTGTCATGTCCACCCTGTTATTCTTCCCAGGGAGGCCATCTTCTAAGTCGAACTGAAGGCTGGTAGGTATCAGAGAGGAGCTACGGGTTTAGGGAGCTAATGCATGGCCCACAGGGGATGGGCTTGGAAATCGTGGAACAACATAGGGGTTTGCCTAACACTGTACTTAGGGGGAAAAAAAAGGAAAAGAAAAGGAAAACTAGCCACTCACACAAATAATCATGTAACTTTAAGAAAATTTCCCAGAATCCCACCAGCCTAATGAACTAGTTGCTATCATTTTTTCCATCCTTCATGACTACCCTTGCATACACACACACACACACACACACACACACACACACACACAGAACATCCTGAGCACACATAGTGAGACATCTCCTATCTTCTCAGGGCTCCGTGTTTTTTTTTAATATTTATTTATTATGTACACAATATTCTGTCTGTGTGTATGCCTGCAGGCCAGAAGAGGGCACCAGACCCCATTACAGATGGTTGTGAGCCACCATGTGGTTGCTGGGAATTGAACTCAGGACCTTTGGAAGAGCAGGCAATGCCCTTAACCTCTGAGCCATCTCTCCAGCCCG